CCCAAATTACCTCGATGGGATTGAAAACAAAAAAATAGGGGGGAAGTCTCAGAATGGTGTGTCCATACTCTTCAGCAATAATCTCAAGGGCATACACTTTTTCAAATGTTTTTGTCTGTAAGTAGTTGGTGTTTGGTATAGTAATATTTACAATACAAATTGTTATCCGTTAAAAAACTTTGTATTTCGTCTTTCCTCATTTTTTTTACGGTACTTTGATGAGCTGTCGCGAATGATAGGGTAGCGTTGTCAAGAACTATTACACTATTCACATCCAAATTTGGGAACAATAATTTCAAAGAATTCGGAACGAATTCTTCACTTCCTCGGCAATGCACAATGATTAGTCGCGATCCTTTGTTTGCAGGCATGTTAGGCGTAGATATACACTCTCGAACCATTAGTCCACCCTTTCGTAACTGTGTCGTGAGTGCCATAAAAAGTTTTGTCCAAATAGAAAATTTTCCGTTGTTCTTGTCTATATTTAGTTATTTGTTCTGAGTATTTGTCACGCAATTCCACTATTCTGCTTTTCGTAACTGCTTGACATTTGTTTATTATTTTAATTATAAACCCTAGTTCCTTCGTTCAATTCTGAAGAGTTGTGTCACAGCAGCTCACGTTATGGCCGGAATTATTCAATTCATTCCTTATGATTGCAGTTGTAGGAATTTCATTGCTTTTGTAACAGTCGTATATTGTTTTTTTCGATGATTTTATTAGATGAACATCCAAAGGTTTTGGTAATCCTGTATCACATCGCGTCTTGCATTCGTAAGGTTTATTTGTGACTATTTTACGTACAGTTGAGAAAGGATTTTCTGTCAAATCTGATGATGCTTGTTTCCCTCGAAACCAAACTTGAGATGTAAATTCTAATATACATTGAAACATACTCTCTGTATTTCAATATTCAAATTCATCCAAATCTTATTCACTGGTATATCTTTTTCGCATTGTTCACCATCGCTATTGGAATCACTACACTGGAAAAAGCCTGCGTTGTTATCACACTCGTTATTACTATCAGTACTTTTCCAGGGACACCACATTCTAAACAGATAACAAAAATTTTAGGTAATTATAATTGCATCAATATCGAATTTCAAACTCAAATCGCGATCAGTTCCTGAACTGAACATTGACACGACGGCGATAACCATCTTCATATTCCCCGTAACATGACTTCAAATTTAATTGTATGACTCTTCAGCCAATCATAAAACTCGGTTATTAAAATTTATCCAATACGAACCGCCAAGTCTGTAGTCCACGTGGACTAGTTTGCTGCCGGTTCATTTCTATGTATTGTTTTTTTTGGCCTTTGAGAATGCCGACAACTTTGAGAGTGCACAATCGTTTACTTCGTTTACTACACTTCTCTGTGGTTACAATGTGGACCGAGCCGCAGCTACAAAGAATCCGGTACACCTCGGGTGTTTATTCATATTCTCTTGGGTATTTAGCTGACTTTAGACTTTCTCTAATAGTTAACGTTGACCAAAGTATCAGTTTCACGTCACGTCGTGTTTCTCTAAGATTCTTCCAATTTGGTCTGTAACATCTTCAACATAGGCAAGAAAAGCTTTTCCGAGGGAGTTTTTACGAAGTTTTTGACATAATAGACCGTCTTGATTAGATCATATTTTGAAATTCAATATTCTTATGAAAATTAAAAAATATACTCACTGATACACTTTTCTCCTCGAAAACCACANCGTCTTGATTAGATCATATTTTGAAATTCAATATTCTTATGAAAATTAAAAAATATACTCACTGATACACTTTTCTCCTCGAAAACCACACACAGGTGCCGCATTGGGTGGTTCTCCAGTTATCCAGTCAATGGTGTCGGTTAAATGAAGAATCTGCAACAGTACAAGTATTTTCTGGTTGGGAAATAGTCACATATTGCGAAGAGTGCAACGGTTTGAAATCTCAGAATTTAGGATGGAAAGTAACGGATGATTTGAAATATATCAACGTAAATTTCCAGTCGGTAATTAAACTTTCATTTCAAATACAACACTCTGTGTATTTGGTGATTCTTGAATTCCATTTTTGAACAGATGAATTGTGTATTACCTTACTCATGGGTATTGTTCCAAAACTAAAATATACTCCAGAAATGGAAGAAAACAATTCGTTACTAGATACTAAAATACTAGATACTGAAATATTCAAAGTTTGCCCGAATGAAGAGGTTATTGGTGAAAGTGAGGCCTAATTTGAGGCAAAAGATGAATCGTTCAGCAACAACGTTGAGCATGATGCTGGCTTGATTTTAGTACCAAATTATACAGATATTATACTGTATTGTGTAGCAATCCTGTGAGTAATAACTGATTCAATTCCATAACATTCGTCTCTCGTTTAACATGAAAAAGAATATGGACACATTTTTTATTTTGATCATTTAACTATTCTAGATGTTCAACCATATGTATCCAACGGACTTTTGAGCGAAATGATACATATCCTCAAATGCGATAGTGTTAACCCGCCATCGGTCACGTTGTTAGATTTTATCTAACAATTTCACTTCTTAGAACAGACTGTATACTGTAGTAATTTTATAACTTTGTACGCTCAAGTATGCCTTCTTAGGAATGTACCTGACCACCCTATTTATATTATTTCTTGAAGTGCAAAAACAGTTTTGAATAAATCGTGTTTATAGAAGGAAGTGTTCAAATGTTAGCTAGTAACTAACACGCGACTGAAAATTTAATGTTGTGTTTGTTTTTGTGAATTTATACATTGTAAAATGTGGTACGAAAAAGAGCAAAAGTGGCTGCAAGCTGTGTGGGATGAAATGTTGGAAGAAGAAGAAGCAGGAGTATCATATGATCCTGATCTAGAGTCCAACGATGAAGCTGCAGGTTCAGAGTACAGTTTACATAACACCGATTCAGAGCAATCAAATTCCTAAGATAATACAGATCAACAATTATTGCAGATCTGTTTTACTGATTCAAGCAACCACATTCACGAAAAACTCTCCGTAAAAATTTAGTTACTCAGCTTCTTGGTGTGAAGCAAGTTGCTAAAAATTCACGAACAATAATAGATTGTTGGAAACTTTATTATCCAAACGAAATTATTGAGTATATAACAAATTGCACCAACAAACAATTCGACAAGAGGAGACCCTTTTCAAGCAGAGAAAGAGATTGCCTTGCTACCGATTTTGATGAAATAAATGCGTTTTTGGAAATATTATATTCAGCTGGTGTAAAAAAGGCTCAACACCTAAATACCGACGATTTGTGGAATACAGATGGCATGGCTCCAGAATACTTTGCAGCTACAATGTCGCAACGCCGTTTTCATACTTTGGTGAGATGATGGAGATTCACGTAAAAAAAGAGCTAAAGAAAACAAAGTGGCTCCAGTGAGATATATAGTGGATCAATTTACTGGTATGTATGTATGTGTACAAAACTACTCAGTCGGCGAATATATAACAATAGATGAAATGCTTGACGCATTTCGAGGAAGATGCAATACATAGCAAATAAACCTACTAAATATGAAATTTTTACACTGTTGTTGATGCAATAGTATTATATACCCACAATATTGAAATTTATGCAAGTAAACAACCAGATGGCCCTTACAAGGTCCATAACGACGCTGGAAGTGTAGTGAAGCGAATGCTTAGACATCTCAGTATATTGGATTATTGGAGCAACATTTCTTTTTCATTTCCACTTAGAATGTTATTTTTTCCATCATTAGTATTCAATCACGGTACGTTAGATGAAATCTAACACGCGACCTATCGCGTAACTTTTGACCACGCGACTGATGGCGGGATAACAATAGAAGAGATGTCGATTGCCATAATACTGCATATTTCAATTTGATAAGTATAATACCTAATTAGTTTACCCTTTTTTCATTCTTTTTTTTGCCACTGATTAAAAAACAGACAGCTCCTTATCAGAATCACAGATAAAGCCATTCGTTTGTTTCATGTCGTTTTGTGTTGGTGTTGTCTCGAAAATTTGGTTGTTGCGATGTTTTTTAATTTTTTTCAAATACGTATCTGATATATGTGATGTTTTTTAAAGTAGTATTATCATCAACACAAAAAAACTACTTCCAGTTGAGTTATTTAATTAACAACTCATTATTTCTTTTGAAATTGAAACGATAATAATCCTATGTTCATGAAAATGCATTGTTACAGAGCCCTGAAGAAGAATTTAATTAAATTGGAAACGTCGGCCAGAAAACAATTGTTTTTTTAAGAAAAATTGATCCCAACCAACCTTTTTTCAGTACACGATACAGTTTGAACAATTAAGAATGTTGATCCTAAGCTAATAAAACAATTTTTAAGTTGAGGAGAGTAACATAATCTGACATCTATTATGGGCCTCATATACAAATCGATATTGAAAACTGTGTAACATATTTATAGTAACACATTTTTGCTGCGAAATTTCATACAATTCAAATATAATTTATCAATTTCAACCAGAACACTGGATGTACAAAATCTCCAATGAAGTTTCCATTCAAAACGTATGAACTAATTCAATTAATAATTTCATGTTTGAGTTCATTCATCATTTTATGGCTAAGAATTTAGAATTCGATTTGACAAATTTCAAATATTTTCAAGTCAATCAATTCCTCGCTTTCAACATCACTAAAAACTTCTTTAATGAAATTCCAACGTTCCTGACGATAAATCCTACAAACATAAACCAAGCCATTCGTAAACATATTTGTGAAGCAATTAATATACAATATAGGTAAAGGAAACTTTTGAGAGGATAGGCAACAACTCATAATATCAAAGAACTTGTCCAAGGTATTGGTTTTGTTCGGGAACGCAAATAATTTAATTATCGTTTGAAGTTCAATCTCACCACTCAAGAAAAACGTTTTCATTTCTGAGAAAAATTAATGAGTTCTGGAAGAACTTTGACTGTTTCAATTGGTGAATTAATTGATGTTAGTTATTTACGACTGAAATGTTTCACAGATTTATTGGAGCGGCCATAGCCTACCAATGACATTCAGTCTTTAATTTCATTCCGTGTTCTGTATTTTTGATCGTCACAAGAATCATATTCACGACGTTCCGACATATTGACAATTAAATTGGTATGACGCTGTCAGTTTGTGAATTTTCGAAATTGAATTAATACTAATTGTGTGTTGCTGTTCTGTTCTTGATTTGTTACTTTAATAATTCACTTGTTATTAAAATGGCATACACAAATGAGGAAATGGCTGATATGCATTACGTTTACGGTCTGTCGCAGGGGGAAGGGTTGCATCCAGTACTGCTGGAGGAAGTTCCTTTGGGCGTCAGAAGGGATATATTTTTTATGCATGATGGGGCTCCCGCCCATTTTAGTCAAGTAGCACGTCAACATTCAACTGATACATATGCAAATCAGTGGATAGGTCGAGGAGGACCACAGAACTGGCCCGATCGACCCCCGAATCTCAAGCCTCTCGATTTCTCTATTTGGGGCCATTTACGGCATTTGGTTTATCGTACTCCTGTTCGCGATGTATAGGACTTAAGAAACCGCATCATCAATGCGTGCAGGGTAATCAGAGAGACTCCAGGAATATTTGAGAGAATACCTGGCTCAATGCGCCGACGTCTAAACGCATGCGTAATGTCTGAAAGTAGACATATTGAACATTTACTATGATTTCTACATCTTGTGTGTTTTGTTATCAATTAATTAGTTATGTTTATTACCCTTCAATCATTTAATGCAGGTACTAACTATAAAATAACAATAAATCCAGTTCGCATTCATGACGATGTATCTCTGTAGTTGTTCGTAAAATAATTTTTTGCTGCGAACTGGTTTACTTTGGGCAAAAGAGATATTTTTTGTTTAGGATGAGGAAGGCTATCGGAAATAAATTTTTGAATGGTAAACAAATAATAAGCCAAATAATACCCCTTACAACCATGGGGTAAACCAAATAAATTACTGGCTAAGTGTCTTTTTGGTAGTACAAAACGCCAGGTTTATTTCAAAAGGGACCAATCATATGGTTTCCTACAATCCCTGCCCAAACATTAACCTTTTGAGGGGATTGCGTGTGTTCTTCTCTCATAGTGACCAGTAGCGGCAATTTTGCCGATTAGCATGACCATTAAGAGACAAAGTACACTCATCAGAAAACAAAACGTCTTCTAATCGTATGATATTGTTATACAACATATGTCCATCATTTGCTCACAAAAATAAGTTCTTTTATTGAAATCGTCTTTCATGAGTTCCTGAAATTGCATTTCCATCAATCCAACCATTTGTCAGACTTGAAGTTAACGTACTTCAAACTTAAATTAAAATACTGGCAACTAATTTTGTAACAACAAAACAAGTTGACAAGGCGTTTTAAACTGACGTCGCCACGAAAATTATTTACAGTTTTTTAAAGGATACCATCTAAAAAGAACATTGCTATGGTTTTTGCTCACTTTCGTATTATCAGTACCTCAACATGAAATACGTTTTGAGTATATTGCAATAAATTTTGAGTGAATAATATCGAATGATTTTAATTTATTTTATCTTAATTTTTGCAATAAACTCAAAAGCTATAACATTTTGTTGTACCTGTCATTCGATGGGGGTTGAAGGTAGGGGTCGCATTTTTCTGTTGAAGTATGTCAAATTATAATTTAAATTTGACTTGTTTTGATATTTTGTTAAAATATGTACGGTAATCGAAATAATGAATTTATTCCATTTGTCTTTCACACACTGTATAAACAATTCTGTCTCCGCTTCAAAATGAGAAAAAATATGGAAATTTTATAAAAATCATCAAAATCGCAGTTGTTTCTCATGACTTCCGAAACAATACTATGACGCGA